AAAAAAATAAAAAGACTGCTACCCTCCTGTGTGCTCAGCCTGTTTGTTTAAACTGACTCTAAGGGAACTACATAACAAGCAGTTTCACCTTATATGCCCCATGGAATCAACTTTTAAAACCTAAACAAATGTATGGCTTTAATTTCAAGTGATTTACTCTTCTATGCTCATGAATCAGAGAACAATGCATGTATGTTTCTATATACATTATGATAATAAATAGGGAAATGGCAAATAGGCTGAAAGCCCTTATAAAAATGAATATCCTGGGGCTGGAAAGATGGCTCAGATGTTAAGAGCACAGGCTGCCCTTCCAGAGGTCCTGAGTTCAATTCCCAGCAACCACATGGTGGCTCACAACTATCTGGCGCCCTCTTCTGACATGAAAGCATACATTCGGACAGAGTACTGTATACAAAATAAATAAATCTTAAAAAAAAAAAGTTTAAAAAAAAAGAAAATTGCCTTAAAAATAATTGATTTTAAAAAAATGAATACCCACAACAAATGTTGGATAAAACATATGGATAGTGCTTGATACACAGTGAGTGATGTTTATAAATTGTTTGTTATCTGGGTCAGTTGGGTTCATTTGGAGTCAGTGAATTAAACCTTTTAAAACTGTTAAAGGTTCCTGTAAAGTATCCTTCATTCTTTCCCCCATGTGATGTTTTCTGTGTTATTCAATAAAAGAGAGAATAAACCTTTTCATTTAATGGGACACACACAGAGAGAGACACAGGGTGGGATAGACTCACATGACAGCCTGCAGACAGGCATAGATTCACACAATGGACAGAGATGACACAAGACACAAGGAAAGAAGTAGAGAATTCAAATCTGGGCGCACTGTTGGTTAAATGACACCAAGGGGAAGTGTTGTGATTTGTTTCCTTCATGTGACAGTGAACAATTATTAATGCATTCGAACCAATGCATATTTCTATATTAAAAAATATATAGTCTCAATGTTGGCCAGCCACAGCAAATATTGTTGATTATTTTAGAATCAAGTATTCTTAGCATAAAGAGGTTTCAACATAAAAATAAAACGGTGGGGTCCTAGAGATACATTTCAGTTAGTAGAGCCCTTGATTGGCATATACAAACCACAAAATTCCACCCCCAGCACCACATAATGTTAAGTATGGTGAGGTGTATTTGTAATTCCAGCACAAAGGAGTGGGATGACAGAGAGTCAGAAGTTCAAGGTCACCCTTAGCTACATCACAAGCTAGAAGGCAACCAGAGAAACTTGAGACATTGTATTACCAACTAAATAAGCACAAGTAAATCATTTCACAGCAGAACATAAACAGAAAAGCAGGAAGAAAGAAGCAGTCGATATCTAAGAGCTATAGACACCAAACAACTCTATATATATGATTCATTGTCTGGAATAGAAGAAGACATGGACATAAAATGCACTTGTAGACATAGTAGCCATCATTTTTCCAAAAAAATAATACAACATATAAAACATAGATCCAGCAAAATTGACAGAATCCATGATAGGATAAACATTGAACACTAAAATACCACCTTCAGTGTTCTGCAAAATAACCAATGATAAAAAGAAAGGAGCACTTTGTTACTGATCATCAAAGATGGGAACTAGGATATTCATCAGAAACTTTGTTATACAGGAGACAATGGAGTCACATTTTTCAAATGCTAGTAGAAAACACACACACACACACACACACACACACACACACACACACACACACACACACATATCCTGGCCTGAATTCTACACCCCAAAATACAGTTTTTAAACTAAAAGTAAAATTTTTCTAAGCAGATAAAACATCATATCATTGATTCTTTGACAACAGAGTACCACAAATGTCTAAAAGTTCTGAACAGATTTTGTCTTGGCCACCAACTCCCACAGGCTCTCCCTAGAAATTTACTGGGCAAGCCAGCTGGGGAAGAAGTTAGACAATCTTCAGACCTTCACTCTACTGCAAATCCAACACTCCAGTCTCATGGCCAGTTTTGTAGTAGGCCACCTGCTGCGACCTTCTCTTTCTCTCTACCCCACCCTACCCAGTCTCCAAGTGTATCCTTTCCTGCAGCCCCCTCACTACACCATCCTTTGACTCTGCCTTGAACTTTGGTAGGCACTCCCTAGGAATCCACCAGCCATACTGGTGAGGGAAGCAGATAGGTGATCATCAGATCTTCTTCCTCTCCTCCAAACCCAGTTCCCCCCACCTCCTCCACTCCTGTCTCATCCTCAGCTCTGTAGCAGATTACTGGCTGTGGCCTCTCCTCCCTCTCCTGCCCTTTTCCCAGGGGTATAAGCAGATCCTGGTGGCACACCCTGAATTCCTCTCTCTTGTGGTCTCCAACAGCACCCTCTCCTCTTCTATCCATTTCATCATTAAGTGTCAGCTCCCAATGCCAAGAAGCACATCTAACCAGAACCCCCTGTAGCCACACGTGGCAAGATTTTACAAGCATTCTCCACCAGGCAACCCATAGCCACCACACTCTCCTAAGAACCAGAGAGGGAGGGTAACAGAAACCAAGGAATGAAACATCCACCCAACAAACACAAGACCAGATATCAGCACCTAGAATTACAATCATCCCAAACCCAGATGCCTAGGTAAAACCATAAAAACACAGTAACAGCCAGAACAATACGAGTTCACTAAAACCCAGCCACCCCACCACAGTAGGCCCTGAGAAATGCAACATAACTGAAGCACCAGACAAGGACTTCAAAACTCCTTTATGAATATGCTAGAGGTCTTTAAAAAGTAAATAAATAAATATCTTAAAGAAATCTGAGAAAACACAAATACACAGCTGAAGGAAAATGAAGAAAACAGTTCAACTTGCAAATAGAAATAGAATCAACATGCCAGGTGGAGGTGGGGGCACATCTTTAATCCAAGCACTCAGGAAGCAGAGACAGGCAGATCTCTGAATTTGAGGACAGCCTGGTCTACAGAATGAGCTCAAGGACTACACAGAAAAAAACATTGTCTCAAAAAAAGAAAACAAAAAGAAAAGAAAGAAAAAAGAATTACAATCATTTATCACCAGGCATACACAAATATTCTCCTAAGAAAACTAGGAACATATGCCCTGTAAAGAACTGCAGGTACCCCTTAACTTTGATAGCGTGTGTGACAATACATTCATTCTTGGCTGAAAATCGCCATTAGCACACCCATCCTACCAAATATCATAGCTGGGCCTGGCCTAAGTTACAAGAGCCTGAACTATGCACACCTACAGTTGAGGGAACTATGGACCATGAAGGCCATTTGATGTATCGTTACCTCAAAATAGCATAGCTGACTGGAAGCTGGGGTCACTGCATCTACTCAGCATTCAGAGAGCCACACGGTACTCACTGGAAGCCAGGGAAAAGAACAAATTTTGAATATGGTTTCGGGATGGCTAATTGTCATTGTGAACTTGACACAATTTAGAATCACCTGAGAAATATACTGTTGGGGTGTGTGGAGGAAGATGTTTCCAGACAGATTCAACTGAGGAGATCCAGTAAGAATGTGAACAGATCCCTGCCATGGGATGGGTTCTTGGTCTGAACAAAAAATGAAAACTAAGGCAGACAAGGCAGCTGGGCACTGGCCTCCATCTCTGTGCTTCCTGACTATGAACACAGTGTGACTAACCTCCTCCCACTCCCGCCACCAAGCCTGTCCTCCCAGGAAGGACTGTACCCCCCTACACTGTAAGCCAAAGTAAACCCTTCCTTCCTAAAGTTGCTTTCGTCTGGTGTTTGGTATCATGACAAGATAGAAAAGACAGAAAAGTAACTGAATCGGGTTTCTACAAGAAGGCAAAAACTCAAATTATACCACTTCAGTTGGGGATTGTCTTATACTCCGAAATGTTTGCAGAAGTTGTTCCCACAATCATAGCAAATTTATAGCAATCTAACTATCCTTCAAATAGGAAATGGATAAATTGTGTAGTGATCACATAATAAAATACTATTAAGCAATAATGAAAAGTACCCATGAATGCAGTAAGATACATTAATCTAAATGGCATTCTGGAGGTGATACAAATACTCTGAATCTCAGTTGTGGTGGTTGGAGAAGATATATTTGCTAAATTATAAAAATTGCTTTAAAAAAACCAAAAATGTCACTGCATATAAATAATACTGAAACTAACTGATTTTATTTTTATTACAGTGTGTGTGTGTGTGTGTGTGTGTGTGTGTGTGTGTGTGTGTGTGTGTGTACCACACTGCAATGGTCATTATGTGGAGGTCAGAGAAAAAAATCTATACTCACCTTCATCAGGCTTGGCAGCCTGGAGCTTTACATACTAAGCCATCCCATCAGCCACCTGATTATCTAATTTTAAAATTTGAAAGCTAATGAGATGACTCAGAGTACAAGGGCACTGACTGCCAAGCCTGACCACTGAGTTCAATTTTCAGAACCAGCATGGTGGAAAGAAAATATGACTCTTACAAGTTGATTCTGACATCTGTACACAAGCCATTGTGTGTAAACATCAACCCACACACACAAAATGAATTAATATAAATAAATAAATAAATAAATAAATAAATAAATAAATAAATAAATAGATGTGAAAATTTTTACATTGAAAATATTCTGAACAACTGGCTATACAGAACTAGTAAAATAAATTTCATGAAGCGTATATTACACAGCACCCAACAGCATATGATAATATACATGTAGACAGAAAAAGCATCTACAATACATGATGCAGAAAGCAGGATGAGAGCTCCAGATATAATCAGTAGAAAATGCTTTCTGGCATGCTCCACGGCTATGACTCAATGAAAAACACTGAAAAAATAAAAGCTATAATGATTTTAATATTTTAATTTTATGTAACTTTTTATATTTCAATACATACAAACACATATCATGACCTATTCAAAATTCTAAAAGACTTTAGTTTGTGATGTCTGATCCTAGTCACTTGATGGTACAAAGGATGTCTAACAGATTCATCAAGCACAAGTCTGAGTGTGCCTGTGAGACCACTTGCAGAGATGATTGGGGTAGACATCTTTGGCCTAACCATTGGTTTAAGCTGCTAACCCATTTGAAATTTGAATGGATTATCAAGACAAGTATGCCCTGGTTGGAGGAAGTAGAACATTGTGATGTCAACAGCTGGTGTCAAGTACATGCAGGTGTCAGGGCTTGAGCGGTGAGGCTGCAGGAGCACAGGGAAGGGGTGAGGGCTCACTTAAAGTACAATAGTGTAAAGCATCAGGTTTACAGGCTATTGCAGTAAGACTTGTCATTGCAACAGTTCATTTTCATTGTCTTATTTCCATTCTTAACAATCCCATTGAAGCAAATGTTAGCACATCTCTGGACTCCAAACTTGACTTTGCCACCTGGAGAGGAAGAAGGGCAAGAGGCAAAATATAAATATTAGTGGAAGAGCCAAAGTCTCAGTAAATTAGAGCCAGGCTCCTAGATGAAAGGTACATCTACCACACAGACATAACGGAGGTGGCCTCTCTGCGGCCATCATCCCTCAACTCCTAATATAACCCACAGGTAGAACTTCATTCCCAAAGTGCTGAATGGAATTTTAGAATCCAGTTCCTATCATGCCAGAGTGTGTTCACCCAGAAAGGCCCTGAGAATCACCCAGACACCTTTCAAAAATAGTTTTAATTCATAATCTGTTTGTTGATCTGACCAACAGGCAGTGGCAGCCATTACCAGAAGCAAAGGGCCTTTCCCTTTCCCTTTCCCTATTCCTATAGGCAAATGTATCCTCCTTCAGTCTCTGAGTTTGCCAAGAGCATTCTGGAGATGGATTCATCACTGTAGGGCAAACAGGATGGTCCCTGGAGCTCCCAGACTTTACCTACCTTCGAGCACTAGAAGTGAGGCGCACTTCTCACCAGGGTTAGCCTTACAGCAACTTTCTTCTTTCTCACAAATCCTCTCAGAATTGAGCCTAGCGCACTTGAAACATGTCAAAGCTGAAAAGACAAAAGTGAGTGTTAGGGGCTCATTCAGGGCCCAGCCTTAACCATCAATGGTAGCTGAGCCTGTGGCTCTGGTTAATGAGAAATAAACAATAGCCAGAGAAAGAGCTGGCTGTGTGCTGAGCTAACTCCTTCAGGAAGGGTCATGACCATGAACTCTGCAAAGGGAAAGCTGGAGGAGAGTTGGAAGGTTCCCCAGCCCCATATCCTGAGAATGGACCAGGTTATCAGGATGAAAAATCAAAACTCTGATGTGGGGTGCCTAACCCACCACACAGTGTTATATTTCTGAGACAGCATAAAGAGACAGGAGGCAGAAAGAGACGAGAGTCTGACCTCTCCAGACAGGGATGTATTTATTAATACACACAGCAGAGGGAAGCCTCTCTCCTACAGGAAATGGAGGGGACTACTAGGAGGAAAAGCTGGCTGGAACCCTTTACAGGGGTAGGGTGAGAGGATCGGGGGTGATGAAATTGCTGTGGTTTAGGGGACGATGCTGGGTTGCAGTCTGCCCTTCCTGGAAGTGTTTGCCCGGGGTTGAAAAAAGACTGTCTTGGGAAAAAGACTGTCTCAACAGCCATTCCTTCCTGTGCTGACTGGTGAGGGCTGAGCAAGGTCAACTGCGGTCTCAATCTTGAAAAGGAGAGAAAGAGGTAGGGAGCAAGCCCATACACAGGAGGCTTGTGGCTGAGTTTTTTGTCCGATCCCTGTGTCTTTGGGCCCATTTCAGTTAGATGTGCTTGGTGCTGAAGCAACATCATTGGTAGAAGATGATGCAAACCCCCTTCTCAGCAGCAGTCAGATCCAGTGTTTTTCAATCTAGAAGTCGTGCAGCAGCCAAAGAATAGACTTCGTTCTGAGGGATATTAAGCTGATCTGAAGTTCTTTAAGGTTTCTGAGAGTTCTAAAGACAGAGAGGTTAACTGATGCAAAGAAGTCTTCAGTCCAGCTGTTTTAGTTCTGAGTCCTTAAACACACCCAGAGTGACAAGAAGAGGGGTGATTTGGGTGACCTGTGGCCCATTCGTCCCCACTTCAGAGGTCACTGAACTGCTTTCAGGGGCTTATGGTAAAGAGGAGATCCCTTTTTAAGAGATAAGATTTAAGTTTAAGATCCTCTCTTAAACTGCTTCACGCTGACAGACGGGGCAATGTAGAAGGGGCATCAGCTAGCATGCCTCAGAGGAGGGTCCATCCAAGGGATCACAATAAAACCTAACAAATGGCAAAGTCCCAGAGCGTAAGTCAGGAGGTAATAACTGTACAACCTTGTGGGAACAATAAGAGACAAAGTTAATGAGGAAAATATTTTACATCAAGATTGAGTTAAGTTTTGTTTAGTGGCTTTAAATGCAATTGTAGGACTGGCTATATCATGTACCAGAGATCTTGGAAGGATAAGAGGTAACTGCAATTAGCTGTTTGTTTAATCAGACTTCTGCGTAAGGAACAAGCACCTGGAAGCTTTGTAAAGAAGTCAGTTAAAGTCAGTATCTTAGTCAGGGTTTCTATTGCTGTGATAAAATACCATGACCAAAAGCAAGTTGGGGTAAAAGGCTTACACTTCCACATAGTAGACCATCATTGAAGGAAGTTGAACAGGAACTCAAATAGAGCAGGAACCTGGGGGCAGGAGCTGATGCAGAAGCCATGGAGGGGTGTTGCTTACTGGCTTGCTCCCCATGGCTTGCTCAGCCTGCTTACTTATAGAACGTAGGACCAGAAGCCCAGAAGTGGCATGGCCCCACAATGGGCTGGACTCTCCCCCATTAATCACTGATTAGGAAAATGTCCTAGAGGCTTGCCTCTAGCCCAATCTTTCAGGGGATGTTTCTCAGTTGAGGCCCCCTCCACTCTGATAACTCTAACTTGTATGAAGTTGGCATAAAACTAGCCATCATAGTGAGAATCTAGTTGATAATTTAAAATAAAATTCTATTGAGTCACTTTATAGGATTGCCTAGGAAAATATCCAAAGACACTGTTTGGATATTCTGGATAAGTTTCAAAAACTGTGAGTTTGGTGGCAGAGTATCTGACAGCCTTTTTTAATTGGGGAACATGGGAGTAGGGGTTAGAATATGCGCCCTGGAATTAGCTTTTTCTAAGAGAATTGAAAGTCAAGATAAAGAGCATATCTAACTGAACTAGCATGCCCACCCCATACCAATCAGTGGTGTAATGAGGGCTTTTAAGTGCCAGCCTCAAAAACCTTCTTTTCAGGGTTCTAAAAAGATGCTACAACAAGTGAGGAAGAACTAATATCTGAGGGTGAGGCAATGAATTTGCTCACGCTATGTGCTTTCTACCCATGTCTCTTTATTGTTCTGAATTCAGTTCTCTCCTGTTGTTCTCTTTTTGTTCTGATTGGAGTCTCTGAAGTTTCCAGTTTTTATACATATACAATCAGCAATTATATATGTATACAATCAGATAAGAACTGCACAAGATGATAACTGTCAGGCTTTCTTTATGACTCAAGGTGGGAGAGGTTTGCAGGAAAATATTTGGAACTAGAAAAAATCATCCTGAGTGAGGTAACCCAGACTCAGAAAGACAAACATGGTATGTACTCTCTCATAAGTGCATACTAGATGTAAAGCAAAGGATAACCAGACTTCAACTCACAACTCCAGGGAGGCAACCTAGTAAAGAGGACCCTACGAAAGACACAGGGATTGCTCAATGACAGAGAAATGGATGAGATCTACATGAGCAATCTGGACGTGACGGGGGGGGGCGGTAATGGAGGACAAGGGTTGGGGGAAAGGGAGCTTAGGGGAATGGGAGGTCCCAGCTGGATCAGGAACAGAGTGGGAAAACAAGGAAAGAGATACCATGATAAATGAAGACCCCATGGGAATAGGAAGAAGCAGAGTGCTAGAGAGGGTCCCAGAAATCCACAAAGATACCTCCACAATAGACTACTGGCAATGGTCGAGAGGGTACCTGAGTTGACTTACTCTGGTGATCAGATGGCCAAATACCCTAACTGTCATGATAGAACTCTCATCCAGTGACTGATGGAAGCAGATGCAGAGATCCACCACGGCCAAGCCCCGGGTGGAGCTCCAGGAGTTCAATGGGGATGGGGGGAGGGAGAGAGAGAGAGATGAGGGATTATATGAGCAAGAGGTATTGAGACCATGATTGGAAAAAGCACAGGGACAAATAGCCAAACTAGTGGGAACACATGAACTATGAACCAATTACTGAGGAGCCCCCATAAACTGAATCAGACCCTCTGCATAAGTGAGGCAGTTGATTAGCTTGAACTGTTTGGGAGGCCCCCAGGCAGTGGGACCAAGACCTGTCCTTAGTGCATGAGCTGGCTTTTTGGAACCTGGGGCCTATGCTGAGACACTTTGCTCAGCCTTGGTGTAGGGAGGAGGGGACTGGATCTGCCTCAACTGAATCTACCAGGCTGAGCTGAATCCCCAGGGGAGACCTTGCCTTGGAGGAGGTGGGAATGGGGGTGGATGGGGGGGAATGCTGGGGGGTGGGAAGAGGGAGGATAGGGGATCTGTGGCTGATATGTAAAATTAAATTAATTATAAAATTTAAAAAAGCATCAATGAACTCTTAAAGGGAACAGGGTCAAATGAGAGGGAGAGAGACCTTAAACTAATAGGGAAGTCTAAGAAAGGGGGCAGGGGAAATTAGTGTGTAATACTACATCCTGAAGCATGGGTAGATAATAAGCTAATCAATAGACCAAGGTGAAAGTAAGTTCGAAGAGTTAAGAATTAGTGGAGGTTAGTTTGGGTCAGCATCTTCTTGTCTGCTGGCAGGGTGAAACCAGGACATGCTTGTTCCCTATCTATCTGAGTGGCTACGAATCAACAGTTTCAGACATGTAGTAATTCTATGTCCTTGAATGTCAGTGAATGTCTCAAGTGAGATTCTTTTACCTGGACACTAACACTGACCAAACACCTCCAATAAAGATAATCCAGGAGGACTCAGGAACATGGAAATGAGGAAAATAATTGCAGCTACAGGGGGCTATGTGGATTTGCAATGCCTCCTTCCTGGACATTTTTCCCCAAGACAGACAGACAGACAATCTTGGTAAACAGGCTGTCCGAACAGTCTTTCTTTTCTGTGCTGACTGATAAGGGCTGAGCCGGATCAACTGTAATCTCGAAGGAATCCTTTAATAAAACTGAGGCATTCTATCACACAGGACTGCACAAATTCATGCTTTCGTTGTCTTTATCTTGTCAATGACCTACCTTCCCCACTCCAATCCAAATTTAGGCCCATTCACATTTAAGCTTGAGGAATTGAGGATGCTTGAATATTCGAGAGAATAGAAGTGAAGGAAGATGGAGAGGCTGGGGAAGAGAGCAGGGTGGCAAGGAGCAGGAGGAAGAGCACCAGGACCATGACAAAGAGGAGGAAAGGGGAGCATCCTTGACTGTGCACAGCAGAGGCAAAGGGACAGGCGAGATGTGGACACAGGAATGAAGCAGAGATCAGTTCCAATGTTAGCCAGGTCCTATTCCTTGCTCCTCATACCCTCTAATGGTCCCTAATCAGTGGCATGTCTGCCTGGCCTGCACCAAACCCTACCATCTGCCAGAGTCTCACCTTGCAGGGAGCTCACCAGCAAGGAGAGGCCCAGCAGGAGCAGCACGATGC